GTTTGAACCTTTGGATTCAATCCAAAAGTTGAAAACGGTTTGGACTGGGTTGGATGACGAGCATGTATAGTTCGGTTTGGTCTAGATTCTAAATGAAAATATCTGGATTGGTTTGGTTTTGATGTGTGCCGTGGATTGGACTGGTTTTAGTTTGGATGCCGAACTATTCCCAGGTTCAGATGAGACGGGCATTGCCATTGTCATTGGCATTGCTTTATTACGTAGATGATAGAAAATAGATTGATTGGCCATTGCCAGTATAGGTTATCACTATGATTTATTATATGTATGATCTTTGTATTGTACTATGTACAATTCAACTTAGAGTTCAACATGTTCTATGTAGAATGGAGGAAGCACAATGTGGACGCTGCAACTCACGGTGCTGGACCAGCCTTTCTACTGCCACGCTGTTCGGCATCTACTTCCAGCCTTCTTTTGTTTTTGCAGCGGTAACAATTTATATGAACCTTCTGACAGTACATTCTTTTTGTTTTTTTCTATTTCCACTAATGTATTGTGTTTGTTATTTGTTTTTATCTTACACAGATCGTACCATGCAATGTGAGATTGGCATTCAATGAGCTCGTCGCAGACACCGTGACCTTCGACGCTCTTGGGGGCTCATACACTATGCAGGTCGAGAAGGGGCGAAAGATAACCCTGATAGGAGGAGATGATTGGGATCGTTTCATCGCCCGCATGCGTCTTAGTGGGGGTGAATTGATCAGCTTCTCCTTCAGAAGAGATAGGCCCAGGATTTCTGTTATCTATCTAAATTTGATTCCGGATAGTGAGGATGAAGTTCATGAGGAGGAAGATGGTGTTGATTCAGATGATGACGATTCAGATGATGATGAGAACCCACTTGTTGAATACCTGTATGCCCAAGGACTCAGACTGGGCGACAAGGAAATCGGCAACCTCTGGGACATGCTTCTGCTACGTGAAGACTACCTAGGGAAGCCATTCGTGACCCGCCTCACAAAGGCGAATGTTAAATGACATATCATGGTATGTTACTTAGTGTGGTAATTACATGATATGCATGCTTAGTTAGTGTAGTAGTTCATATGATATGCATGTTGTAGTACTGTGATGAGAGGCCTAGTTTAGAATTCATTTAGTGAAGAATTTTATGACATGCATGTAGTGTAGTAATATGCGATGATATGCTTAGTGTATGCAGTAATCTAATGATATGCCTAATTTCTGTAGTAATTTGATGCTTGGCGTATAGTGTAGTGATGTGATGATATATATGCTCAGTATTGAATCCAATGATATATGTGTCTTGAAGTGTATGCTTTGTTGATAATTGCACCTGACATGATCATATATCATGTCAACTGTTTTTAGAAATTACCTAAGAGGTTACTTGATAGCTGTGGCATCGACCCGGACGAAGAATGCATGGCTGCTGGACTACGCCTTACCAGAACGGGCTCCATCACCAGCTGTGCCTATGCAGTGGACACGGACGGTCGCACTGTCTTGAGCAGGGCAGGGTGGAAGAAGTTCCTTCGTGCCAAGAATCTTCGGGTAGGACAGGCCATCCTACTCACTATTGCGAACATCCGTCACCATGACTTGAGGATGATGATCACCATCCACCTCATTTAGAACTGGGGTGGGCCATGTATCAATGTGAAATGAACTTGCTATGTTAGCTCTTGTTTGCGAGTACTTGTCGTGTATTACCGTACCTATATCTACTCATATCTGGGTACTATTGCTTGTGATGGATTGCAACTATTATTAACTGGTAACTAATGCTCTACTAGCTATGATTATTCCACTGTGTGATGTTTTATAGGCTGTAGTGTGACATGGTAACTGTTATATATGGTAGAGGCTTGTCTCTAAGACCTTGTACAATGCAAGGTGCTTAGGGATGTGCTTCCACTGTGTGATGTTTTGTACGTGCCAGGTTGTAGTATGAAATGCTAACTGTTCTATATGGTAGTGGTTGGTCTCTAATTGGACCGACATGTTGAACTAGTATCAATGGTAGAGACGTTTCGTTATGCGCCACATCCAACAGTTCACATAATTAATTATTCAAAGATTAAGGTATGAAACCCTTGGTCATACATAGCAACATTTCGCTCCTAAAAATTAAGGTACTTCCACATTCAAACAAACTAATACTACAAATTCGAAGGAACTACTTAATACATTAACAACACATAGGGAAGTAGCCCTGGTCCAACGGCTTGAGAAATGATGAACAAAAACTGAAAGAAGAAGGATCAGCCAGTAGCAGCACCATCAGCCTCCCAGCCTCACAACTTCAGCCAGCCTGGTGAACTCCAGGTTTTTTCCTGCAAAACACACATGTGATGTTGGAGGCAAGAAAATAAATATGCCAGGGGTCTTGTCATGGCATCTAATCGTACGGAATGCTAGTACAAATGATGGAGAACAAAACATCCAACATGAGCAAATTCATAGGAGTTCTAGATCCATGGATGCCATCAAGAAAAATTGCTCAGTTTTAATTCAGACTCAAGACTTGGTGAAAACATGCATATTCATATTAGCAACATTGATATGGCATCTTTGCAAGCTTGGGTCAGTGACTTGTCTTGTGTTTCATGGCATGACAATAATTTTAACAATAAATAGACATGAAATTGACCCAAACTCATGTACAAAGTTAGGCCATATGATGCATGGATTAATTCACACATAAATGACAAAATGCCAACTTTGTGTAGAATTTGCAGTACTGAAATATTTCAGTGTGTACCGGTATGTACTGAAACTGCAGTGCTGAAATAATTCAGTGTGCATCGGTGTGTACTGAAATTGTAGTAACGAAATATTTCAGTGCCTACCGGTGTGTACCGAAATATTTCAGTGTCTACCACTACAACATTACAAATTTTGCCTAGGGCAGTACCGAAATATTTCAGTGCCTACCGGTGTGTACCGAAATATTTCAGTGTCCACCACTACAACATTACAAATTTTGCCTAGGGCAGTTCCGAAATATTTCAGTGCCTACCGGTGTGTACCGAAATATTTCAGTGTCTACCACTAGAACATTACTAATTTTTCCTAGGGTTCATATGATGCCTAGGGTTCACATACATCATAATCCATCCTCCAAATCCATGTACTCAAATGTTCATGCAATTCATTGAGATTAAAATGCCATCTAGCATTCCCTCTCTGAGCTATTACGATCAGTATCACCACGATGTAAGCACGAGCAGTAGGAAGATGAGGAGTGGGGAAGTTTACTCTAAACATAGCTACCGCCGCCGTTCAGACGAGGAGAGCGGCAAGGGAAGCGTGGAGAACGGCGGGGAAGCGAGGTCGCGACCACTGTCCTCCTCATCTTGCGCTTCGGAGTCGCTGGTGACTCGGTTGGAGGCTGCACAATCTGCAACAGCACCTCGTGCACGGTGGGTTCCTGATCCAGTGGATGCTCTACCCTGGATCTGAACGCCCACCACCTCCGCCTGGTCCACTCGCTGGACGAATTGGCCTGCTCCATCGCCCAGAGGAGGATCTCGATCTTCTGAATCGGTTGCGCGGGCGTGGGGAAAAGCTTTGCCCTCTCCTTCTTCGTCAAATTCTTGAGAGTGGCCATTGCCGTCCAGCTCATCTGCCTTGTGTTGTCAAACCAAGAACGGATCTCCCTCAACCTGGCCAACTTGACCTGGTCGCCGACGGCGATCTGCACGAAGTCGGTGTTCTCGCCGCCGGCCATCAGCTCGATCTGTCGTGGAAGAGGGGGTGGGGGTGGGTGGGGTGGGTGCCTGAGTGGAGCGAAGTTGCAGCGGCAAGAAGGAGGAGATGACTGCGGTGGATTTGGAGGAGAGGGAGGAGATGGCCGCCGATGAGTAATTGTGGAATGTGTAGCACCACGGCGGCGGTTATGCATTCGACGAGAGGGGCGCCGCGTGCAAATTTTCCTAGGACTAAACTGCCCCTAGATTAAACGCGTCCCCACCTTGTCACGAGTACCGGCCCCACTCCTTTTAGTACTTTCGCGTACTTTCATCGGAGTACTACCCAGTACTTCATATTTGTCTGCCGTTAGATCGACATCAATAAACGGTTGTAAAAAAGCCCAACCACTCTAAAACTTGTATTTAAACATATCGTGATTCCTAAATCATCAATGCCTAGGAAATGCCACGGTGCCAATCTTGGGCAAATTCACATTACCCCTACCATCCGCTTGAAGTTTGAGCAAGTGTCACTTGTAACATGATCATCATAATATTGTGAACACGCATATTTTTTTTGGGTAGTCCAAACTCCAAAGGTGCCCTTTTTGTAAAAAAAAAAGCACGTTCTCTCTGGTGGAAAATGATTTTTCTTTTTTCTTCCGCAGTGAGGAAATTTTGTCAAACGTTAAAATATAGGAAAAATTATACATGTACATGTCTGTTTTGTTGAGATCCTGGATTTTTTATATAGAAAACCTTTTTTTAGAGCATTGAAGCTGCCAAGAGAGCAAAGATGTTTCTTTTTGCATTAAAATGGCACGATCATGTAAATAATACCATTTCTTTATTGTATAGTTTTTTTAACTAATTTATGATTTACTGTTCATTCCAGGAGACATTTCTCTGCTCCTGTGAATTTTGAGTTTATCTTAATAATCATCTTTACAATCACCTATCTTGTACTGCTTTTTAAGCCACCGTTTTTTAAGTAAATAAATTCAATTTTGGATGCGTTTTTGGTTATAAATGAACAGCTTTAGCTACGTTCATTTAGTCTAGTCATTCTGTGCCACATTTACAACATTTAGCAACAAACCAACGCCATTATACCCAGAAAGCATTGAGATGTACTTCCTCTGTAAACTAATATAAGATGTTTTAGATCACTAAAGGATCGAAGAATTATTCCAATTGATACAACACATACTTTTTCTTATTCATTGCATGTGCACTGGTGCTACTTTCTACAGTAGTAGTACAGCCATGCGAGTTGGGCAGTGCCACAAAAGCTCTAATCGGAGTTCATAGCTGACCCTAGAAGAACCTATCAACAGATGGATCAGACTCCGACAAGCTACCTTCAAAGTTCACCTTGCAGCCACCAGGTAGCTGCAACCCAGCTTCCTCGCAGCTCTGCCTTGTAACCTGAGGACATGACCGGACGTCGAGGTACTCGAGTGCCTTGCATGACTCTATCACGCTGCTCACTCCCACAACTGTGAGGTCAACACAATTGTTGATCTTCAGAACTCTCAATTCCGACCGGAACAAGTTCGCTTCCATGCCCTGAAATGCCGCATCAGTTATTTGGTCGCAGCACCCGACATCAATAGCGGCAAGAAGTTTACAGTTGCACAACAGACTTCTCAACGAGGCGTCTGTTATTTTCAAGCACCAGTCCATTCTTAAAATCCGGAGGCTGCTACAGCAGGCAAGAGCTAGTGCTTCTATGGAGTCATCGCTAATATCCCGACATCCACCGATGATGAGAGTCTCTAGGTTGCAGCAGAACTTAGCTAGTGAATAGATAGACTTGTTGCCCACTTTGCTGCAATCCAACAGTTTCAATGACAATAGAGATGACGACGAGACCTCAGCAATTTTGCAAATTCCAGGATCACCAACTTTATTGCATTTGCTTATGTCTAGTGACTTCATTTTATGACAACCATCGGCTAGAGCTGAGATTCCAGCATCTGTTATGCTGTTACATCCTGCAGCACCAAGCTCTTCCAAGTTCAAACAGTTTTTTGATACAGCATGCAACAAATTATCAGTTATTAATCTGCAACCTGCGATGTGCAACTGTCTCAATTTCTGGCACCCTGACGCAATCACCTTTAAACCTTTATCACTAAGTTTTTTGCAGTGAGAGACATCTAGGGTTTGCAGACATTGCAGCCCTTCTCCTAATTTGACCATTCCAACATCAGTGATACCTAAGACATACATGAACAGTAGAATATGTAAATACATTAGATTAAGGAAATACCAACAATTCACAGCCAAATCAGATAACTGGTGCCCGCTATTATATTTAGTCTCCACAAACTCTAAGTGCCATTTAGGTTCAAGAAAAATAAATAAAGAACACAAGTATCAGCCCGTGCTAAAAACTGCGCGCCTGAAGCCAAAATGGCAATGAAAGATGTTGGTCCAGTTCTGAACTGCGTGAATGCATCAATACCGAAGACTTGTAACTTCTAGCAATGCTAGTAACTTCACAGTGCTGAAGATTACCAATATTAATCACTGTGTCAGAGAAATGCTACAAAGACCACAAGTTGTATGAATACATATTTTGTTGGAAGTACATTTGCCCAGCTAGAAATTCTCTAGTCAGACTACCCAAATTGAACTGATGGGTTATTACCACAACAAAGTACCAAACAGAACTTTATCTCGGAGCTGTAAAAGAAGTACAAATGGGATTCCACATCACGGAAATCAGCATGTTCTATAAACACAATTGAGGACAACTGAACATCTGCATCTGACCAGCATATAGAACCAAACATTTAACCAGGGCTACAAATATCTCTACTAGAGTCGAGTTCTCTGGTCTAAGACAGTAGCCAGCGTAATATAACCTGCGCCGAAAACGACCTTCCAGAAATATCCCCGGCCTCTGCATCTGAACGATGCATACGGCCAATTTATTAATTATTAACACAAGACCTTACAAAGTCGTACAACAGTAAGACCAAAGCCACCATCTTCGCAACCTCTATCGCTACTCCTATCTAACTGATGAAGGGGCGCTGATGGTCTGGGCCTAATACCAAACAGACCTCGCAGCCAAACCTAACATCTAATACCAAATAGACCTCGCAGCCAAACCTAACATCTAAGACCTGAGGTCCCAACCAGGACGCCTGCCGGGTATGGGCACCCACCAGTCCGGCGTGCTCCTCAACCAGGACGCCTGCTGGGTATGAGGCCGCCACAGCCACCTGTCACATATCCATCTTCGGAGCTGTACTGTTGCATCGGCCTTGCCCGGTCTCGCTGCCGCCGACGCCACCACGACGCCAGACAGCGTCGACCTCCTGCGCGTGTCCGTCACCACACATCTGACGCCAAGCCTCCGCTGCTCCATGCCGCCAAGAGCCGCCGCCAAGAATATGTAGAACGAAACACCGCTCCACCGAAAGGGAGGCAGCACACCCCCACCCCTCACCTGCAGACCCTTCCATCCGATCCCAATGTCCTTGGCGTCGCCTCCAGGAAGGTTACGGTGCACGGGGCGCCGCCGACGCCCGATCCGCATCGGATCTTGGGCTTTCACCCGGACATGGGTCGGAGTGGAGAGATGGTGCCCTCAGCAGCGCCCCCAAGGAGGAAAGCGGCGCCAAAAAGCGGCGTCGCCGCTGCCGGCCAGCCAAGGCGGCCAAGGTTTCCCCCGGACACCGATCTGCTCCACCAGAACACACCGGAGTTGGATCCGGCAAGATCCAAACCGAACCGGGAAATTTCTCATGTATGTACTTCTCACTTCGAATTAGAGCAGTAGCTGTAGCTGTGTGGGCTATTTGGTAGGCATCGAACATGTATATTGTGTGGCTTACCAGTTCGTATTTCATTAAATTTCTTTGTTCACGTGTGTGTGATTGAACGATTAAAATTTGACAGAGTTAAAATGATGCCACAACAAAGTTCTTCAGACGCCCCAGTTTGCTTATTCTCTCTCATCTTTGTAGGGTAAGAAAAACCCAATAAATCACAAATCGTACTACTCCGTATTTGATAAGAAGGAAAGCTTTCTGCATTTGCGAGTTCACGCACACAAACAGCGCGAATGGATCCGGCCGAAAGGAGGTCTCACCTTTGCAGTTCTGCAGGGCGAGGACTCGCAGATTGCAGAACCCCCCTGCAATGACGTCCAGATCGTCGTCGATAACACCGGGGTAGAACGAGCGAGACGGCGACTGGGAGAGATCCAGCTCGAGAATGCCCGGGAAGCGTGCTGCCAGGCGGCGCAGCATGGACGGACCGGCGCGCGCGCGCAGGCGGCGGCGCTCGGAGCTCTGGATCCGGAGCCAGCGCCTGCACACGAGCCCGAACGCGTCGCGCTCCGACTCGGGCCTCAGGCGGGTGAGCACCGCACGGAGCTCATCGTCGGTGAGCACCTCGTTGACGAGGGCCTCATCGCCTTCCGACCGTGATGCAGACATGACCGGAGTTAAGGAGTCACTAGTTTTTTCGGTGAAGGGGTTATTAGTTTTCAGTCCATTTGCAATGGAGACTTCTTTTCTTTGGGGACATTTGCAACGTAGATGGACGATGGACTGCAATAATTCAATTCGACGCCCCGGCCAATCAACACCCGGTGAACAGCAGAAAAGAAACCTGATTTTTTATGCAAGTTGCTCAAATGGGTGATCTTCGTGCATTTTTTTTGGGTTGTTTGGACATTCAAGAAGCTCGTGACAAATAAGACAAAATTGACTGTGAACAATGTTGTTTTCAAAAGTTTTTCAGACGTTTGAAATTTGTCTTTTTTGCGACGAACTTCTCGAATGTCCAGACTTTACCAAGTTGTGTACGGACATCACGCAATCACAAAAAGGAGCATTTTGCCCACAAAAAAAATCAGAGTTTTAATTTATTTTTTCTATTTAAAATAATTTTACTATTCACACCCGGGCTGATCTAAGCCGCCAGCATTTGATGGATGGACTTTTACATCCGCTGCAACATAATTGGGTCTGGTCGTCTCGGCCTCTTGGCATGTGAGAATTGACAATGGACCGCTCAAGGGATGTCACACCGAAAACTTGAGCAGCTCTCGCTCGCCATCCGAGAGTACCTTCGACTCCATGGTGATGTCCAGACGAAGAATCACCTCGTTAGCTATCATGATTTGAAATTTGACGTTCCATGAAGTGGTCGCTTCACCTAGCCAATCGTGCGAGCGGTGGTTTTTAACTCAGCTGCTAGACGCTTGAAGGGATTGGCAATTGGCTGGTGCTCATTCTACATTTCCCGCACCATATTTTGGAAGCCTCGGCCTTTGTCTAGAAGGTTTGGAAGTAAAATCGGTTTCCTCACCGCATGCGGGGGGTCAAGAACCAAAAGAAGTGGACAATGATTCGGCACGAGCATGCTGAACACCGAGAGGAAAGAGAAAAGGTGCATGGCTTCCCAATCAACTATTGTGACGACATGGTCCAATTTCTCCAACGTGGGCTAGCTGTTGAAGCTCAGTAGACCATGTGTACCTCCTGCCAGGTATAGATCCTTAAGCTCTAGCTCCATAAGCATCCTCCGGAACTTGCCCGTCATACGGTGATTTATCCTCTCATTGTTCTTACCGGATAGATCATCAATGAGGTTGAAATCTCCGGCTACTACCCAAGGGTCAGCATGCATGTCCGTAATATCCTTCAATCGCAACAACTTTACAAGACTGAGATTTCATGGGTCAAATTTATATAGGACACATATTATGGTAATAGTCACCTAAGGGACAAAATGATTGGATCTTTCTGGTGGAGAGTTATGCTCAAATTGCTACCCATTTACAAGCAACATTCTATTTGTAAAGTTGGAAAGGGGGATACAATACTGAAAGTGCGTTATATCGACTAAAGGAGGGGTGAATAGGCGATTTTTACAAATTCATCACTGAGGAATTTCATGGTGATGAAATTCCTAAGGTACAAACTACTTAGCAGCGGAATAAGTACTCAGATGCAAACATAACAGAGTAGTAGCACAGTCATCATAAAGATATGAAAGACGAGCACAGAATACAAGTAGCGTAAACACAGGATAAGCAGGCAGAAGACAAACTGACTGAGGAAATTGAACTGAGGAAATTGAGAAAGTCTTCAGTCAAAGTCTTCAAACAGTAACGATCAAGTACAACAACACAATAATGAGGAAACGAAAGGGTTGAGAAAATAGAACCAGTTAGCTCGGTGAAGACAATGATTTGGTAGACCAGTTCCAACTGCTGTGACAGTCGTACGTCTGGTTGGAGCAGCTAGGTATTCAAACCCGAGGACACACCATCCTCACCGTATTCTCCTTGAGCTAAGATCACATAGACCTCGCCCAATCACTCGTGGTAAGTCTTCAGGTGACTTCCAAACCTTCACAGACTCGGTCACTTGGCGATCCACAATTTCCACTTGGATGCTCTAGACCATGACGCCTAACCGTCTGGAGTATGCACAATCCTCAAAGGTAACAAGCGTCAGTTCCACACTGGAACAATCTCTTCAGTGATGCTCAATCACTTTGGGTTTTTAGGTGTTTGATTTGGGTTTTTGGGTTTTTCCTCACTAGGTGATTTTCGCTCAAAGTCCTCGGAGGATGGGATGCTCTCAATGACAAGTGTCAGTTTCTCGCAGAGTAGCCAACCAACTAGTGGTTGTAGGTGGCGGCTATTTATAGCCTAGGGAGCAGCACGACATGATAAGACATAAATGCCCTTCAATGATATGACCGTTAGGTGGGTAAGATATTTTGGGACAGCTGGCGCATAGCACAACAATGGTCGGAAATTTGAGGTTCAAATTCCTCAGGGCTATCATGTTCCTCACTTGTAGGCAATCCGCACCGACGAATTCCTAACTCCTCAGTTAAAACAAATTCCTCAGAAACCAGAAGATCTTCGTCTCTGTCACTGAGGAAATGGACTGAACTGTATGAGATTTCCAATGGCTTCACTCGAAAGGATTGGTAGGTGTAGGATTTTGAGATGAGCATCACTTGGAAACTTTTCCTTAGTTTTACCTCGACCCCATTTAACAGTACGGTGTTTCCTATTGTTGGAGAACGTAGTAATTTCAAAAAAATTCCTATGCACATGCAAGATCATGGTGATGCATAGCAACGAGAGGGAAGAGTATCGTCCACGTACCCTCGTAGACCATAAGCGTAAGCATTATGAGAACGTGGTTGATGTAGTCGTACGTCTTCACGATCCGGCCGATCCAAGTACCGAACGTACATCACCTCCGAGTTCAGCACACGTTCAGCTCGATGATGTCCCACGAACTCCGATCCAACAGAGCTTCACAGGAGAGTTGCGTCAGCACGACGACGTGATGACGGTGATGATGTTGCTACCAAAGCAGGGCTTCGCCTAAGCACCGCTACGATATGATCGAGGTGGATTATGGTGGAGGGGGGGCACCGCACACGGCTTAGAACAATCAACTTGTGTGTCCTAGGGTGCCCCTGTCCCCGTATATAAAGGAGCAAGGGGGAGGCCGACCGGCCCTTGCAGGGCGCGTCAGGAGGAGGAGTCCTCCTCCTAGTAGGAGTAGGACTCCCCTTTCCTACTCCTACTAGGAGGGGGAAAGGAAGGAGGAGAGGGAGAAGGAAAGGGGGGCGCCGCCCCCTTCCCTAGTCCAATTCGGACTAGAGGGGGAGGGGGCCCGCGGCCTGCCCTGGCCGGCCCTCTCTCTCTATACTAAGGCCCATGTGTCCCATTACTTCTCCGGGGGGGGGGAGGGTCCGGTAACCCTCCGGCACTTCGGTTTTCTCTGAAATCACTCGGAACACTTCCGATATCCAAATATAGTCGTCCAATATATCAATCTTTATGTCTCGACCATTTCGAGACTCCTCGTCATGTCCGTGATCACATCCGGGATTCCTAACTACCTTCGGTACATCAAATCACATAAACTCATAATATCGATCGTCATCGAATGTTAAGCGTGCGGACCCTACGGGTTCGAGAACTATGTAGACATGACCGAGACACGTCTCCGGTCAGTAACCAATAGCGGAACCTGGATGCTCATATTGGCTTCTACATATTCTACGAAGATCTTTATCGATTGAGGGAGTCCTGGATTAGGGGGTCTCCGGACAGCCGGACTATATCCTTTGGCCGGACTGTTGGACTATGAAGATACAAGATTGAAGACTTCGTCCTGTGTCCGGATGGGACTCTCCTTGGCATGGAAGGCAAGCTAGGCAATACGGATGTGTAGATCTCCTCCCTTGTAACCGACTCTGTGTAACCCTAGCCCCCTCCGGTGTCTATATAAACCGGAGGGTTTAGTCCGTAGGAGGACATACAATCATACCATAGGCTAGCTTCTAGGGTTTAGCCTCTATGATCTCGTGGTAGATCAACTCTTGTAATACTCATATCATCAAGAACAATCAAGCAGGACGTAGGGTATTACCTCCATCAAGAGGGCCTGAACCTGGGTAAACACCGTGTCCCCTGCCTCCTGTTACCATCCGCCTTAGACGCATAGTTCGGGACCCCTACCTGAGATCCGCCGGTTTTGACACCGACATTGGTGCTTTCATTGAGAGTTCCACCGTGTCATCACCATAAGGCTTGATGGCTCCTTCGATCATCGATAGCGATGCGGTCCAGGGTGAGGTTTTCCTCCCCGGACAAATCTTTGTATTCGGCGGCTTCGCACTGCGGGCCAATTCTCTTGGCCATCTGGAGTAGATCGAGAGCTACGCCCCTGGCCATCAGGTCAGATTCGAAAACTTAAACTACACTGTCAACATCCGCGAAGACTTGATCTTCGATGGATTCGAGCCCGTGTCAGGTGCGCCGCACAGTCATGACGAGCACGACTTAACTCTGCCGTCGGACAGTGTTCGGGAGATCGCATCTGCAACTACTCCGGCCTTCAATCCGGAGCAAATTGCACCATCCAAGGACGGGGGGATAGACCCCGCCATGGAGGTCGCACTCACAGTGGAGATGGAGCCGGATACTGACTTCACCCCTTATGAGAGTCGTGTCGCCAAACCACTGGATTCGTCTCCGGCCATGGACTCCGAGCCGCCCGCATCCGTGCCCATCGAATCTGACTGGGCGCCGATCATGGAGTTCACCTCCGCAGATATCTTTCAGTACTCGCCTTTCGGCGATGTGCTAAATTCATTAAAGTCTCTCTCCTTGTCAGGAGAACCTTGGCCGAACTATGTCCGGCTAGAATGGGATACGGAGGACGAAGAAATTCGCTGCCCGCCCACCACCCACTTAGTAGCCACTGTCGACGACTTAACCGACATGCTCAACTTTGACTCCGAAGACATCGACGGCAGGGACGAAGATGCAGGAGACGAACAGGAACCAGCGCCCACAGGGCGCCGGACAGCCACTTCATCACATGACATATACATGGTGGATACACCCAAAGAAGGCAATGGTGAAGAGACAGCGGAGGATGGCCCCTCCAAGAAGCAACCCAAGCGCCGACGTCAGCGGCGCCGCTCTAAGTCCCGCCATAGCAAAAACAGCGATAATAGCGCAATAGAAAATAACACTCCAGTCGACTCCCGAGGAAACGACGACCACATGGCCCCGGCGTCAGAGCACGATGAAGCTGCAAGCGGCGAACATAGTACGGATCCGACGTCTGAACACGGCGACGCCGAGTATCAACCTCATCAAACCCCCTCTGGGGAGGAAAACAGTCCGGACGAAGATGCACACATCATCCCGGAAACGCACTTGGAGCAAGAGAACCTCCGCATAAGGCTTATTGCCACAACGAGGAGTCTGAAGAAGCAGAAGCAAAGTCTTAAGGCCACACAAAATACACTCAACAACAGGTGGAACAAAGTGCTCGACAATGAAGCAAAGTATGGTGGAAGTTACCACACAAAGAGCTATCCAAAGCGCAAGCTGTTACCTAAATTTGACGATGGGGCCTTAGAGCCCACACAACCAAAAAATGAAACGACCAACCGGCCGGATCCACCACCTTGTGATCGCGATAGAGCGGATAACAAATACACACATAAGTCAACACACGATGTACGTGAGGACTTGAGCCAAAAATCCGGTACGACCAGATCCATCTATGGATCTAGGAAGCGTGCTCCGGCACAAAATCAAAACCAAATACCACAACCATCTGAATGCCATGGTACATCCAAGTACAGGGGTGCCGCACACCCCCTATGTTTCACCGATGAGGTGCTGGATCACGAATTCCCAGAAGGATTCAAACCAATGAACATAGAGGCATATGACGGGACCACAGACCCTGGGGTCTGGATTGAGGACTTCATCCTCCATATCCATATGGCTCGCAGAGACGATCTCCATGCCATTAAATACTTGCCCCTCAAGCTTAAAGGACCAGCTCGGCACTGGCTGAAAAGCCTCCCCGAAAACTCAATTGGAAGTTGGGAGGAGCTCGAGGACGCTTTTCGGGCTAATTTTCAAGGGACATACGTCCGACCTCCGGATGCAGACGATTTAAGTCATATAATTCAACAGTCCGGAGAGTCCACCCGAAAGCTTTGGAACAGGTTTCTCACCAAGAAGAACCAAATTGTTGACTGTCCGGACGCCAAAGCCTTAGCAGCTTTCAAACACAGCGTCCGAGATGAATGGCTCGCCAGACACCTCGGCCAAGAAAAACCGA